ATTATAGGTTTCTAAATGGGTTCTTTAACAATGTGATGAAATTACAAAGTATTCCAAAAAAACTTTTCTCCTCTATTTTTTAATGCTATCACCTGAGAAAAGCATATATTCTTGTGACTTCTTTGATCTGATTATCAACACTGTTTGAAAACCGGTAGAAGATCCGGATAGTAAGCTTACATTAATCAATTGAAATTACATATGTTGCCGAATTTGGCCGAATTGTTACTCAGTGATGTTATTATAATTTTCCAGATTTTAGGAACTTTGAATTTCTATGCATGTTAGTATGTTAGCCTACATAACAAAAAATTTTTTTGAAGGGGTATAAGATCTAAAAGATTGTTTGGATGCTTTATGCTGAAAAGAGCTTTTCCAGGGGTATGTAGGAATGCAGTAGCAGAATCATTTCTGCAGTTTTTGATCAGTGAAAATATTGGAATACAAGAAAAAATAGAGAATGTAGGAATTTCATATTACCATATTTAAAATTGAACATCATATTTCTTCGAGATATAAGAATCGTATTTTAAATTTATTTTGCCTCCAGTCTTGATATCATACAGTAGTGTTGATTTGATAAACGATTTTATTTTTTAAAAAAGCTTTCTTTTTTTTTTAAATTATTGGCTATAACTGTGCATTTTTTTCCCAAAACCAGACTTCATTACTCAAAGTGTGCAACTCCTAGATTTTTTCCCCCAGAGTAATCGTTTCTAATTATTGAATTTTCAAGTTATTTTAAATTGCTTTTTGCATTTTACAGCGAAGTTGAAATTTTAATGTTCCGGAGTACTGCATGTTTTATTGAATTCTATATTTAAAAATATTACTGAATGCCTGGGAAGATATAAATTCATGTATGACAGAAGTGTTTCGTTGAATTTACAGTTATTTTTCTTTACAAAGGAGCCTTTTACAAATGTATTAATATTTCTTTCTGATGTTGTGATTACATTTAATTGTGTATATGTGTTAGTAGGGGATGGTTCGTTAAAACTTCATTTCAAGTTGAAAAAGAATGAAAGTCATTCTGCACAATAATATAATTCCTGTTGTGTGGAAGTATGTGGAAATATTGATACCTTCATATTGTAATTACTAGTGAAGTGTTTTTGTAGGAAATGATATATTATATATATGGCATAATGTCACACATTCTGGTTCATTTTTTGACTTCTTATTTTCATATTAATTCACGTTACAGAGATCAATGATTGCAGAATAGCTATGAATGTGTTCCTTTTGATCGTAACATTCTTTTCTCTTGTATTTCTCGTTTGGATCGGAATTCGTGTTATGTTGCTTACAGTTTATAAAAGAAAAGAAATGAACAGAGAGATTATGAACAGGTCGAAAGACATGCCGTTGTTTCCAGTAACATAGAGATTGATGCAACGTAGACGAATTTGACTGAAGTTTTGAAGTTGAAATTGCATTATCCGTCGCTTTATCAAAAACCATGTGCATATAAATTTTTCTTCCGGAAGAGAATTGTTGAGTGGTTGACAAATTCATGGGGAGGAAAAGTTTTTAAACCTCCTCTGTGATATGCAAAAGTCTTTCTTGATGTGCTTTTACTAAAATCAACGTGGAGATGAAATATAACATGATCAATATACTTTTTCCATTTGTTTATTTCATTTAATTCATTGTTTTCAGCAATTGGAAATAGCATTGAAAATGATTATAAGAAAGTAACCCTCTGACAAATTATATATGATATTTCTAGGATTACATGAATATTAGTAAATACCACGAACAGTTTCAATTGTTAATTTGGGCAGTCTTAATGGTACTGGAATGCAATTCCGCAATACAATTAAGCTTATTTAAAAGAAGTGATTTTTCTGAGTCATAATATAAATTGAGTTGCTGAAGAGCTAAAGAAAGATTGGAACGATTTTAGTGAAATGAAGTCAGCGAGAATCATTGCTTTCCTAGCTCCAAAAGAAAACTAGTTAACTATCAATAAACTAGTCTGTTTCACTTTTTTTTTATTTTTTGTTTTTTTTTTTTCAGATTTTTCCTTTTTGGTCTTCTGTCTTGATCAAAGTGAAATCTGATAATTCCCCGATATTTCCTTTGGTCATTACTTTACAATGATTTTGCAAACTGATCATTTCCAGCTTCCGAACTCTCGGATGTGTCCAATACACCTTTTCACAGATCTAACTGTTCATCAACTTAGTAATTTCATTACATAACAAGTTTCGATGTTTTACAGCAATTCGGAATTAATATTTGAAAATTTAAAAAAATATATTTGAAATTTTTGGGGTGAAATCTTTGAAGTGGAACCATTTTGTATCTGCTTGGGAAGAGATATAAATTATAATCAGAAAGGTAGAAAAAAAAAAGTTAGGCATGGAGATAAAGGAAAGAAATCTAAATTGGAGGATGCAGCATTTAGAAATACAATAATTGTCACCTCATATACATTAATTATTGATGTCAATTTATTGTCCTCCATTTATTATCTCTGAGATTTCATTTCACATTTCTTTTGAAACTTCTTCCTTTTTAATCACAGCTGACGACTCGTAATAATATCAAGGAGCGTTCTTTTATCACAAAATCATTCATTAAAAAGGAGTGTAAGCCGAGTATCTACTCTTGCTCTGTATTTGTCGAACATTTGCGCAATTGTTCACTAATTATCTCTTTGTTCTTTACAAGCTAAATCAATTTATTGAAGACAACACTTGGTTACTTTGTTATTTACCAACGATAACGTATCATTTGCAGAATATAGTAGTTTCGGTTTTTAGCGCCTAGATGAATTTATCATCGCTTTCATGTCATTTCAAAAAGGATTGTGCGATTAGATTTTCGGTGGTAATAGAGAACGCATGACAACTCCGCTTTATAGAAAGAGTATGTGGTACAGCAAATCGAATTTACATTGCAGTATATCGAAATTTGTAATATGCTTAGTTAACAGGTTGGCATAACATTGTTTCGTTAATAAGGTATGTAGGGCCATCAAAAACATTTCAGTACAATCTTAGTAAAAATACTTCGTCAGAGAAGCATATCTATTCGGAAATTCTTTGGCGAATGAATTGGCAAAACACTGATGTGTTCTTGCTAATTGAGACTTAATTTTCAAGTCACAATAACAATTCCTTTCCACCGAATTACATACAAGCAATCGCTTTACAAGGTTGTAAAATGCAGGAAAACTGAAGACTGAAACGAAGTTTTTTGTTTTCCTTTCACTAAATAATTGACACAACTTATAAATTGTAAAAACAAGTCATTAATTTCAACTTAAGCGAATGTAGTAAATTAAAGAGAAGCTGAAAAGGATGTGCTAATTTCATCTCTATGTTTCATTTACACATCACAGTTGTTAATCTCTTAAATCAAACTCAACTTGAGGGAAGATACAAACATTGTGAATTTACTACATTGCTTCTACTTCCCTTCTTGAATGCTTTTCTTAATGTGTGGTCGGTCGCTATAGCAAAAAACTTTCTGATATTAAGACATTTAGCATTAGAAAAGCGTACTGATATGCTACATGAGACTTACTATTTTAAATTAAATGATATTGAACGAATGTCTACCGATAACAAGGTATGTAATTACCACACTAGAAATACTTCCGGATATTGATACCAGCACTGAAAGGAATAAAAATTTTTCTGGTTAGCCTAACGCTCCTTCCCGATGACAAGCAGTGAAGAAAAACCCACTTCCTGTGATTTTCATCTCCTTATTTACTCCATTTATTAAACTGGTGATGCTGTTTTTGATATCGGAATGCTATATTACAATTATTTGATGGTTTATTTAATGGTGGGTTGGGTTATAATTAACTCATACTTATTTTTTGTGAAAATGTGGACTTATCATCTTTTCTCAGTAGAGCATCTTTACTCTGCAGATATCTAGACAGATTGCTTTTATATCATTCTATATTAAGCCTTCGCTTTCACTAACTTTCTTTCATCTTAAGCTTGGGTGCGAAAATTTTAAATCTGTTTTGGTCCTTCTGCCTTTGGTTTCTGAGTCAAATATTCTGAAATTATTTTTATTTATGTATTTCAATAAAGTGAGAAGGAATTATAGATTAGTAGAATTTATTTACTTTATTTACTTCTACTAAACTTACTCTCTTTTACCGTGAGCAAACGTTATTATTCTTTCAAAAAGTCAACAGTTTTGTTCGAGATTCTCTCAAAAATAATTCATACTACCACATTTTTCAGTCATATATTTTCAGTATTTCTATATTTTCCAGCACTATTTTCTTGTTTTGTTTGAATATACTACACTTTGTTTAGATAAATCTTAATTTCCATCACTTCACAACCAATTTAAGTGCCTAAATTGAATTTCAGCTTTAAGAGTTCCTTTCTTTCTAATATAGCTATATTTTAATGCTCTATAAAGTTATCTGTATCTAAAGATAATTTTCTCAACTAACTTTTTAATTTTCTCCAAAAGATTCAGCCGCATCTCCAGAAGTATTCCCTATTTAAAGGTATTTCTTTTTTACCCAAAAAAAGTACCCCTTTTTTTAGTAGCACAGCAGGGGAAGGAGAGACTATCCTTACCAACTACCCCTCAGGAATCTTTCACAGGACCTTTGCGACGAATCATTCGTTTGACTACGACTTTAAGGCAGGCACTTATCCGAAATATACTCCACTGAATACCCGAATTGGGCGAACTTTGTTGGAAATAAAGCTCGAAGAGTGAGCGGGTTTCCCAGGCATAAGATCAGCTGACTCCTTTGGGAGTTGGAACTGTGATTTGGTAGTAGAGTGGTGTTGGTGACTTTTTTGCTGGTGGGTTTGGTGGCTTTGGACTGGCGGAGAGAAGGGAAAAGTCACAGATGGAAGAGGTCTGCATGTTTAACATGTTACCTGTTCATATCATATTGTTTCTTTTCTTTCGATCTTATAAAATCTCATGAAATTAGTTATTTTCTGGATTGCTCATCATTATACGTAACTCATATAAAGACTAATTTCAGGAATAGAGTGAGAATGGTTTCTGTGTTCCTTTCACGAATTGTTGTGCTCACGGCGGGCACCCTCTATCCTGCATATCGAAGCTATAAAGCTGTTAGAACAAAGGTTTTCCTTCTTGTTAAATATCTCATAGAACACGGTAGTTAATCTAAGTTTATTCAATTTCTTTCTTATCCCAGTTTATTTCGAAAATGAGAGCCTAATTAGGGTTAAGATGAAATCATCAAAGGGTGTCATAGTTATATGCTGGAATGACCCATTAGTAGGCTTTCTTGAAAGAGCTTGCTGGATATTACATCGAACAGTTTTTTTCTTACTCACTGACAGTTCTGATCACTCATTCTTAATTGGACAATCATGTTTTTCTTGGTTGCGTGTTCCATATACACTAAATACTATCAAATTATTGCTGTTCCTGTGCCTCAGTAAAATGTACATTTAGATAAAAAGGCATCAGTAGTGTTGATTATATTTTCATCGGGGATGATTTATCCTCATTTTATGTGTATTACTGATGGGTCATTCCAAATATCCTGGGATTTATATGTGGGATTTTTTTTTTTTTTTATATGTGTTGGTTTTTATACTCACAGAATAGGGGGACTACAGTTTAAAAAAGAAGTCTTTTGCTTTAAATAAACTCATAGTTTAATTAGCATATTAAATTTAGAACTTCAACTTTTGGTTTTTTTCGAAATAAGATCAAGCAGTTATTGCTGTATTGCGAGGCATACCACTTTTTTCAGTTACCAATTTTCCAGTTAAAATTTGTCAGAGTTTTTGAGAAATTTTCAGGATGTGAGAGAGTATGTTAAATGGATGATGTATTGGATTGTTTTTGCTTTCTTTTGCTTCATAGAAACGATTGCCGATGTCATTGTCTCATTTTGGCTACCGTTTTATTACGAATTAAAAATTATTTTCGTATTATGGTTGTTGAGTCCTTGGACCAAAGGCGCTTCAATCTTATATAGAAAGGTAAGCTTTCTGTGAATAAATTTTATCTTGATTTGTGTGTCATACAGAAAGCAGAATTTATGTCTTTTTTTTTTAAATTTTTTTTTGTAAAAATCAAGCAAATATATTCATTCAGCATGTTCAGAGTATTCTGTCTTTTCAATATCTTTTTTATAGTGGGTACATCCTACGTTGACAAAACACGAGAGAGATATTGATCTGCTGCTGGAACATGCCAAGTCAGAAAGTTATAATCAGGTTTGTGTGGTCGTAGTTAATTAGTGAATTGCTGTTGATTGTTGTTATAATATCTTTTATGTGTTTTACATTTTGTGCGATTTGAAGATCTTCCTAACATAATCAAGAAAAAAGCCTATGTTACTTGGGCTAGTAAATCTTTTTTTTTCAGTTTCCATTTAAAAAATATATCTACAATGCTATATTGTTGTGTTAAACGGGTTTCTCGGAGTTATTTCCTAAGACCGAGGAATAGCTTATTCTTAAACTTTATGATTTTTATTAATTAAATTTTTAGAATTTGGATATTCAGATGAACGTTTTAGGTAATGCGATTAGGTAGCAGAGGTATATTGTGTGCTCGTGAAATTATTGCAACAGCCGCATTACGAGGACAAGCGCAGCTTGTGCAACAGCTGCAGCGTTCATATAGCGCCAGCGATGTTAATAACAGGTACAAATCTGTATAGGTAAAGATTGCGTTTTGAATGACGGCTTGGAAGAACGTAGTTCATTAAGTTCTAAGTTATAGGCTATGTCTTTGATATATTAATATATTTCATTTTCTTCGTTAATTAAGTTCAAATTCAAGAGAATCATCATCAAAAGTAATCCGTGTGACGGAAATTCAAGAAGATGACGAACATGAACCAGAGAGCAGTGGTGCTATAGATGTTTTGGAAGATGAAATTGCTTCTGTAAGTTCAATTTTCTAAAGACCGTAAATCATGATCCTTAATTGCAAATTTAGAACTGAAGCAGTTGGTAGAGATGAAATATGAGACTTCTTATGCATTTTAGACAATTTGTCAACTTGAATTTTTTATGTGTTTATCTTCTCATGATACTTTTCTCTTTTGTAATATTAATTTCCTTCATTTCGCTATTGACAGATGTGATTAGTATCAGGAGAAGGACTGCTATATTTTAAGACAGAATTTTGAATGTTCAGACCCTTGAAAACTGGTTGGGTAAATGTATGGTTTTTACTTGTACCGTACATTTAGGATAACACAAATGTGTGTCATGTCAGTACAACACACTGTGCTGAAAAAATCTGTGATAGCTTTGATTTCTCACTGTTTCTGTTTCACTGCAGTGATGTAAGTACGTATTGTCTTGCTTTCCGGTTTGATGCGAAAACATGAATTCAGTTTTCTTTGTTTACAGATTATGGAACGTGAAGACCGAACCGAAGCATTGCGTCGGAGCTCTAGACGTCGGAGATCGCCCGCGTCGGAAACGATTTACAATACATTACCGCGTCGGACAACACGTCAACATAAATAATTTCATTAGTAATATACCGAAGTTCTGTTGATATGTAGTGTTTTTTTTTTTTTGTCAGATATCAGTGTATTTCCCGACATAGCGGTTTATAAGCCTTTGTTATATAAGTGAGAATTGGTTGTATGTTAGTGAATCATTGATTGAATTATGAGGTTGGATTTGTCGTGTTATTACTAGATATTCTGTCTCTGTGTTTAGTGAAAACATAGGTTCACCTTTTGCAGCTTAGTTTTTTAGAAATTGGGGAGGTTTTTGAAGACTCGTTTGTATGATGATTGGATATCTTTTATTGCTAACTTTTTCAACGCAGTTTTGGCTTTACATTTAATGTGGTTTTGTTTATTATGAAACTTTCATCAAATTTGCTTTTCACTATTTGATAGCGTTCGTATTTTAAACCGAAGGACCTTAATTCTACAGCTGCAATTCTTTTCCCTTATTTCCTTCTCTATATGCTTCTTGCATATTTATGTATCCTTAGAACTGCAGTTCTCACTTTTTTGATTCATTAATTATTGTGTCGTCAGACACCTAATATTTTCTTTTTTCCTTTTTTTTTGTCTTTTATTTCTGTATTTTAAATCTAGGAAAGAGTGTATCTCTTGCAGCTTTTTATAAATATGAATCTTGAAAATACTACATGTTCTATTTCAATGCCTTTTGTCTTTCAGCTTCAATTGTAACTGTTGATTTTCTGAAATCTATGAAAGATCCCTTTGCTTTACATTTGAAAAAGCTTAAAATAGAGAAGTTAGCTTAGTGAAGTTTTGATGTACTGAGAAATAGAAGCTCTGTTTTCAGAATCAGGTAGTGCTTTAAACCAGCTAAAATTATCTGCAAATTGAGTTTTTGGTTTTCCCTATCACTTTTCCATCACTGTATAACACTTTTTTTTCATACAATTCTTTTTATTTGTGCCTTGAGGTGCAAGGTTTTTGTCATACCAAAAAACAATTTCCAAACCTCACTTCTTGAGTTCAGGTTTTTTTTCTTTTTTGAATCCCAATGAATTACGTGAATCAGTTCGATTAAGGATATGATTTTTGCATAGTCAACAAGTTTTTGAATCATCATACTACGTTATTTCTTTTGCCAAGTTTGATAGAAAATTTGGGAAGAATCTTATTGATACTCATCGATAAATTTTTTCTGTCAAAATGGCATTCTCGTTGGTTGATTCCTGTCCACTAGTGCCAGGGTCCGTTAAGGTTTTTTTTTAAAAAAAAAACTTTTTAGAAATTTCGGATTGTAAAGCTTTTGTCAATGCTGTATTTTATTGCATTACTTTTTGCCAATTCGGACTAGTACATAATATGTTTATGTCCGGAGGGCTTTGTGTTATTGAAGTTGATGGTAATTAATGATTCTATGCGATGATTTGTAATTCTTTACTAAGTTTTAAAGTAATTTGTGTTTTCTTCATTGTACATTCATTTTTTCTCTCTTCGATTTCTTTGCTCACAAATAATAGAAATAAATTTGAAGCGATGTGCGTAAATGTATAAAGTGATGTCACATGCCATCTTTTCATTAGGTGCTGCTGGTTCTGTCTAATGAAGCACTTTTTTGTTTAGAATTGTTAACTGTATTCCGCACTGTGATTTTCATTCCGGAAACGTTTTCTTACCTCAATGCATTGTATGCAGCAGAGAAAATATTGGATTAGTAGAGAAGTTGCTGCGGTTTGATTTCTATCATTAACTAGTTTCTTGGTTATTTGATAAAGATTTATATAATAGATGGTTCATGAGGTGAGGTTGTTGCTGATTTGATAGGTTTGAAGGGAAGTGTCGTATTTTTTAGCTTTTGGTTATACTAAGTTTTATTTATTATCTTGTCGAGCTTGTTTTAACCATTCTAATGTGTGAGCCTTTCGTGTGCGTCCCTATTCATTTGACTTTATTAGAGGCCGACTTCAAGGACGTAATTAAATGGCGACTAATGATGATTTGAAGCGTTTGGAAGGCACACGAGATACGAAAGGTGGTTTATTCGTTCGTAAAAAGACGGAGAGTAATAACGAGTTGTTTAAACATCCCGGAAAGTCACTTCTCGGTTTGGATGTCCTAGCAAGGTCTCGTGCTCGAAATGAGGTAAATTCCCGGAAGCGTCGAATTGAAGACGGTTCACCTGGTGGCCTTTCGGAGAGCGTACACAAGCAAATCGCCGCGTAAGTTGCGTTACTTTTCGATAAATACTGATTTTTTGAAATTAGAGCAGAAGTCCGTTCATTATCATCAATAAATAATAATAATAATAATAATAATAAATAATACAATAATTTTTATACAATAATATCAATAAATAATAAATAATAATAATAAATAATACAATAATTTTTTTATACAATAATAACTATGACTTTCATAATAATGAAAATTACTTACTACTATTACGGAGAAGAGTAATTTTGCCTTCTAGTAGTTTTTTTACGGTTTTGTTTAATTTGATCACTTTGCTAGCAGCAGAAGTCGAAAACACGCAAAGCATGTTATAAAGCACATGTCCATAAAAAACAGTTTTAAACATCTTGTTTCTGTAACGTCAAAAACATCTCTAAATTGAGCTGTTACCGGAAGTTGTGAGTATTTCCTTCTTTGTCTAACTTTTCACTCACCTAAAACCTTTCTGCAGTTATGTAATCGAAAAATACAAAGGAGAGAAACGCGGAATTTATGCGGATACGAGGAAAAATGAGTGCAAGCAAAGAAGCTGTCATCATAACAAAGGAAGCTGGCAAAAGCATTCTAGAGACCAGAATCCACGAGATAGAGATGCAGAAACTCCTATTTTTAAGGTAAAATTATATGCATTTTCGGTGTTTTTAACAGAATTGAACACAACATTGGTTCGTCCTTAAATATTCATGGACGAATTTGAAATATGCAACTCTTTATGCTGGAAACATATTTGTGCTCAATATTATGAACCTCTAGTATATTATAGTTGCTTTAGGCACCTGACACTCCTTCACGTTCAGCCTGGGAAGAGGATGATTCGGGGCAGATATCAAAAAGGTACCATTCAAGCTGGGATACACCAACTTCATCTGGTCGTCATGATAATACACCTTCAACTCGTAGCGTTTCGAGCATTTGGCAGAGTGAACGAAATCGGAAACGACAAAAGCACAATAAGAAAAGGTAATTAGTCAATGTAAAATGCATATTCTATGATGTATTTGAGCTGAAGTGATGCAGTATGTAAATTTTACAAGGAGGAATTCTTGAGCTTGAATTATTCTTCTCTCTTTGTTTACGGTAAAAGTGGAATTGTGCATTACTCTTTCATATGACAATATAAGTAGAGATTCATTTACCCTTTCAATTTATTACAGATAGCATTACTTACGAGAAGGCTTTTTCATTGAGTGCGAATAGATGCACTGTAGCATGTTTTTGTTAGATTTAAAAAAGATAATTGGTTTGAGTGTAAAATGAAGATATATTTCAGAAATCGAGAGGATACTATTCGTTCGGTCAAGGAGGAAGGAGAGTTAGTTCCAGATTTTCGCAATGCTTTTGAAAGAGCGGAATGGGAAAGAGAACAACAAAAATTGGATCGTGATTGGTACGGCAATGACCAAGGCTATGATGACGAAAACAATCCGTTTTCTCAGGTTTTTTTCTGCTGGCTTAAATTATTGTTCCAACAACAATTTCAATTCTAGTAGTAAGAAAAGAACTTGACTTTGCAGAAAATTTATGATAAATTTGAACGGAATATACAAAAAAGAACAAGATTTCCAATTATCTTAGGAAATATGACATTTACTAGTACTGTTCGCTTATCAAATGATTAAAACGAGTATCATTTTTCAAAGTCAAGTTCATTGCTAGTTCAGCATAAATTTTTTTACTTTTTCTCAGTATATAAGAACGTATGCCATACATTTATGTGGACCCCATACTCAGGTTCTTTCCTCTGGTTTAAGTCCTTGTTCAAAAAAGAATTGGACATGTTGAAATGAATCGCTTATTGAGTATTTGAAAAGTATGACGGAAAAGTTTTGAAAAGCGCAAATTATAGCTGAGACTACTGAGCACTAATTTTTCTTTATTGAATATTTCAGTTACTTTTGTAACTCTGATAGTGTGCTATGGCCAAACTTAAAAAAAAAATTTCCAAAAAATCCTTAATTTAGAATTCATGGACATATGGATGCGTTCTTATATATCGAAAAAAGAAAGAAGTTCATGTATTATGTTGAGCCAGCGATGAACTTGGTGTTGAAAAAATACTCGTAGTAATCATTTGATAGAATTACAACATTAGCAACATGTCTTGTTTCCGAAGATAATTGGAAATTTGCTTTTCTGTTCCGAAGATAATTGGAAATTTGTATTCTGTTCACCTTTATTTTTGGTTCTCTGGGAAGTAATTTTTCACTAGAACTAAACCAACAAAAGCATGTTCAAATTGTTCAATATAGGTTTCCCAAGAATACATAGAAAAAAAAGAAAGACAATGGCAACAAAAACGTGAGAAGCCCCGTCTTACAGTTCGTCAACAACAAATCAAAAAAGACAACAAAATGTGGGAAAATAATCGATTGGCAAGATCAGGTTAACAGCTAAACATTTTATTTTATCTGTTCTAGTTTGTTCTATATATTTGAATTTATTTTACACATTTTAATTTCATATTGTATCTATCGGAATCCCCTTTTCATTTTTACTGGTATTACATATTATAGGTTGGACAAAATATTATATATATATATATAAATAAATAATGTGTACTGCTGTTATACCGATAAACGGATTTCTGTCCGTCTTCAATAAAACTGAATAGTAAATATAAAAATTTGAGGTGTTGTATCACTTACTGATGACGACGATTTCCTCGATGATGAATCGGATGAAAATCGAGTAACACTGCTGGTGCAGAATGTCGTTCCGCCATTTTTGGATGGTCGTTTTATATTTACAAAACAAAATAAACCAGTTGTTCCTGTGAAGGATATAACTTCTGATCTTGCTGTTGTTGCTGCTAAAGGA